GCCGGAAGTGGTGCTGTGGCTCAAGTGGTAGAGCGCTCGCCTTGAGCTGAAGAGCTGAGGGACAGCGCCCAGGCCCAGAGTTCAGGCCCCATGACCAGACCCCCCCCCAAAAAGAAGAATGTCAGAATTTCAGTGCAGGGCAGGCACTGAACACAGCAGAGAATTTTGTTTTTTATAGAATTTTGTTTGGTTGTTTTTTTTTTCTTTTCTCTATGCAAACAACACAAATACCAACAAAGCCAATAAAATAAATACTCGTGCAAACTTTCAAATGTTAATTTTCACACCTCCGAGAATTACACAATGGGAATTATTTGCACCGAAGAGTTTAGAATACCACACATCACTTCACTGTAGAAAGTATTAGGGGAGAGGTTTGGAAGAATATTCACCTATAGCTTAATTAAATACGGATTAAACTAAAGATTCAGAAAAGCAATCGAAAAATGCTACTGGACACACAGGACCAGAGCAATTCTGAAAAGAAGTATGGGTGGAGGGACATAAAAAGTGTTCTCTTCATGAAAAGAAAAAAAAATAGTGTATTTAGTGGCTAGAAGTATGCTGTTATCCACAAGGAAGTCAGAATAAAGCGAGCACCAGCAGCTCATACCTGTAATTCCAGCTTCTGAGAACCCAGGGATCTGAGGATCCAATCCACAGTAAAGTCAGAGAGAGAGAGAGACAGAAAGAGAGAGCACTCTGTCCCCTTCATGACTCTGTTTGCCGCTTGGCACTGCTGATTTTCCAGTTTGGAGTTCTGTTTTGTCTCGCTCCTGGTTACCTAGTAAAGTCACTGGGCAGAGCATTCCACCCTAGTCTAAACCAAACTCAAAACAAAGCGGACCTGTCTCCCTGGCTGGAGGAAGGCAGGGGTTGGGGAGCGGGGCCGCCACGCCTCACCTCGGTGCTAGCCACTGACCAGGGAGGCCCCCCAGGCTGCCAGGGCCGCACAAGGGGCCCCTCTGAGCTGGCTGGGGCGGGGCTGGAAAAATCCCCTCAAAGCACTGGTGTATTCCCGGGAGGCTGGATTACTGGGGTCATGTCGGTTTGCTCGCACACTATAGGCCCAGTTTCTTCTCTTTTGAAAAGAAAAAGGCTCAAATTCCATTTTCACAGAATGGTTCACAAAACTGATTTTTTTTTTTTTTACAAGAGAAAAGAGGCAATAGAAATCTCTCCTGGTATAAAACGGAGGGATCTCCGATTTTTCAAAGTTTCTGAGAACTTAAAACGTGTCTGAAGTTAGGTGTGTTTTTAAATCATAAACAGCCATTTTTCCGGTGCCATGGGTAATTTACCTGACAATGACAAACAACATTCCAGTATTCTAAAGTATTCCCGCCCAACACCGGTGGCTCACGCCTATCATCCTAGCTACTCAGGAGGTTGAGATCTGAGGATCTCGGTTCAAAGCCAGCCGGGGCAGAAAAGTGAGACTCTTGATCTCCCATGAACCACCAGAAAACTGGAAGTGGAGCTGTGGCTAAAGCTCTTGCCTTGAACCAAAGAGCTCAGGGACAGCACCCGGGCCCCAAGTTCAAGCCCTACAACCAACAAAAACAAACACACAAAACCACAGGAAGGGGTAGAATGTTAGCTTTGAACACAAAAGCTAAAGGGTAGCATCCAGATCTTGGGTTCAAGGCCCAGTAACAGCACACATATACATGCACACGTGCGTGCGCGCAAGCACACACACACGCACACACACCAGCTTTCTCCTCCAGCAGTGCTAGCACAGCAGCTCATTACAGACCTAGATCCAAACAAGGCTGCGAAGCAGCAGCAGCAGTGGAGGAGGAACAAAGGGACATTCTCTGCTCTTCCTCTCAGAAGGAGCAGTTTGGGGGTAACAGCAATCCTCCGCTGTCCTCAGTGAGGCAAGCACCCCTGAGCAACTACAAAGGAACAAGAGGCGACAAAAGCACCGCAGGCCACACTCAAAGCCACCAGGCCTCCCTTTGACCTGCTCTCATTTAAGCCGTGGTTAATGGAGAAGAAAACGCCACTTGCTAGGGGCTAGAGATTTCTCCCAATGAACCAAGCCACAGATTCACGACCGGGTTTCTAGAAGCACCAATGTCCAGCACCTATGTAAACGCTGAACAAGAACGAGGCCTGCCTTGTCCCTTCCAGCTGACCTGGGGTAGGGGGGAGGTATTTCATTCACTGTGACTCCCCCAGAAGACTGCTCACCCCGAAACAGCTCTCGTGAGCTCTTGTTCTGAGTCCACAGAGGTGGAGGCCAACAGCGGGACTCTGCAATGCAGAGATTCGCTGGCAGAGCTGAAAAGGAAAAGCGGGCTCCTGTGTGCCCAGGGCCAGCTGCTGCCGGCAGGCTGGCTGGCAGGCTGGCTGGCTCTCAGGCCACAGCCGCAGGGCCGTGGGCACCACAGCTGCTGCGGGTGCCAGCCCCCGCCTGCACAGATCAAAGTTCTTCTGTGCGGGGAAATCCAGCGGGTAAGGACTCCCAGCCTCCCCTCCCCGCCCTGGGGCTGCTCTAGCACACACTTGTGGCTGCTGAGCCACTGGTCACAGGATAGCCCAGGCCTCCAACACACAGCCCATGGGAGAGGAGGATGGCAGGCATCGGAGCTCAAGACCATCCGGAGGAACAACTTCTCCAGAGCGAGGCAGGCAGGCAGGCAGCCGGTTTACTCTTGGAGTTGCCAGGGCCCGGTGTAGGTGGGGCCCCGGAATCCCTAAGCGTGGGCCTTAAGCTCCACACAGACGCACCAAGGTTTCTTAGTGGACAGAGAACAAGGGAGACCTGAGGGGCACCGAACTGAATAAAACTCAGTCCTCCGATTCACACAGCTTAGGATCTGATAAGCAGAAACACCCTCGCACAACGCACCCCTGGTGAGTACGGACCTTGTGCGTTAAGAGGAGAGAAAGGGGGGCTGGGAAGGTGGCTCAGTGGTAGAGCGCTTGCCTTGCATGCAGGAGGCCCTGGGTTCGATTCCTCAGCACCACAGGAGCAGAAAAAGCCAGAAGTGGCGCCATGGCTCATGTGGTAGAGCACTAGCCTTGAGCTGAAGAACAGTGCCCAGGCCCAGAGTTCAAGCCCCACGAATGACAGAGAGAGAGAGAGAGAGAGAGAGAAAGGGAACGGCACACAATGACTTGAATGGCTTGAGCCTGAACTCCTGGATACTCCAGAGGCAGAGATTTGAGGATCTCAGTTGGAGGCCAGGCAGGGAGTGGGAGGGAAGGAAGGAGGTAGTAAGACTCCATCTTGAGAAATGGCTGGACACAGGGTCACACACCTGTCACCCCAGCCGCTCAGGGGAGCACCAACAGGGAGATTCCAGTTTGGGCCCACCCCAGGGTAACGTGAGACCCTGATCTTGTGATTGGTGAGGGATCTGCCTGGCGAGGAGGAGGCCCTGCGATCCAAGAGGATCAACCCAAACCCAGGACTGCGGAGGTTTCCCTGGGGGCCAGACGGGATGAGGGGAGGGAGCCTCAGGAGGATGTGAACAGGACGGGTGTGGGGAGCGGTGCAGGGCGTGCAGCAAGAACAAACTGCCCTCTCCCCGCCCCCCCCAGCAGGCCCCTCTCCACCCCGCAAATTGCTGGTTTGCGTCAGCAGACAGTGTAAACCTTCCCTTTTCTCCTCAAACGTCCTCCACCACATGAAGGAGCTCATAAATGAACATGGTTGAAAAGCACTGGGCTTCGCAGACATGGGAAACCATGTCCTTTTTCTCTTCTTCTCCCCCCCCCCAATCTAGTTTCTGCCCAATTT